CTCAATTTGAAAGGGTTACAAATTTTATATGGTCATAATTTTTGAACGCTGAGAGATAATACTATAAAACATAATGATGAATATGAGAATAGTACAAAAAAATTTTTAAACTTGTCGCCCCTCACAGATATTATCCTTAGTAAATATCTGATTTTCTGCATGTTGTTGAAATAACAACAAAATATTGTGATTTTATTGTTTGAATACTAAGTTTATAAAAAGATTAAATCAAACATTTAACTAATTTGTATAAAAGCTGATAGTCTAAAGAATAAAATAAGCTAAAAAGTTTTGAGTCTGGCCTATAATTTTACAATAAACAAAATAAAAAAAGATCAAAAGTTTACCCTCTCAAAGTCTTAATTTAAATAATTAATCAAAATAGGAAATTAAGTTAAATGAAAATCACTGCGCAAGATCTCCTTCTTCTATTCTTGTAATATTTTTTGCGCTGCATAATTAATGGATGATCCCTTAACTTACATAACATGGAAAACAAAGTAAAAAAATTGCTTCAACTTCTATATTTTAGTTTTTTTTCCCTTAGTTTTTTTTTGTAAACTAATTGAATACAAATGTCGATATCAAATTAATTAAAATTTATATTTTTGTTTTGTTTTGATTTCATTAATATCCTTAATATATATATATAGAAATATACTAAAGAAATATACTAAAATATTCATCTAAATAAACATTGATTGAAAATTGGAAAAAAACACAAAGATTGTTGTATCTAACAAAAGGTAAATGCAACAATCTTTGAAAATACCTCGTACTTAGTTTCCACTCTTTTTTCTTAGAGTGAGAGACTATTACATAAGAAAAACTTGCTACGTAAAGTAATTTTTTTTAGAAATTTAAGTAAAACTATTTTGAAAATATTTTGAACTGTTTCATTTCTTGAGCAGAAAAAGAAACATTTATATCTGGTTTCTTGATGTAAAAACTATCTGAGATTCTGCATGTTTCTGGCGTTGTACAAATGACTTTGTCAAAAAAAGCAAAAACAATCTTATTTTATTATTTTTGCTAAAAAATTTGATTATCAAACATGCGTATGAATATTGCGCATGTATATCGAAAGAATAGCCGTTTCTTTAAAAAAGATGAAAAAAAATCATTATTGTTTAATAAGCAACTGCTCAAGATGGTGAAAAATGAGGAGTAGAATGAGGCTTGAATTAAAATTAAAAAGAAGTAATAAAAGCTTCCAAACATTTATTTCAGAAAAGCTAAAAGTTTCCTAGATGCATTTTATGCATACATATTATGGATATAAACATATCTGATTACTATTTATTTAGATGCAGGCATACAATATCCTTTTATTGTTATATAAACTATAGAATTTATGGAATAGTATTTGTGAAAAGTAAAAAACGATCAGATGAATGTGTGGTGTGACTAAACAGATGGATGTGTGGTATGACATAAAAAAGAAGGCATAATTATAGACATTTCAACAAAACATTGTATTGAACAATGTTAAACAAAAATAAACTAATTTAAGCATCAGCATATAGAGATGTAGCAGCTTCAGTAAAAAATGGTAGTGGAAGTAGAAAAACTTAAAGAGAGTGCCTTACATATTGTATGAATGAGCTTTAGTTAAGAAAAAAAAATGCAGGGATGCATTCAAACAATGGGTAATTGATGGAAAACCTAAACATGTAATTATCTTTGAAAGAATGAAAAAAACTCAAACAGTATTTAAACTTGCTTTTAGGCACTGTAAAAATCATACTGAGCAAATTAAAGCTGACAGAGGTTACAGAGAATATCAATAATGTTAAGGCAACCAATCATGTTGCTAGTATTGGCAGAGTTATTAGTGACAAGGACATTGCCACTATATGGAAGAGACATTTTCAAACAATATATAATTCACTTAATGATAACCAGCATAGAATACAGGTTGGGCAGAAAGTGCATTCTTCATTACTAGACATACCTTTCAGAGTTACTATTATAGATGTAACTAAACCTTTGTATAAGCAAAAAAAGAGAAAATCTGCTGGACCAGATAACTTGTTTATGGAATCATTTATATATGGAGGACATAGACTGTCTCTTTATCTAAGTATTTTTTTTAATTTATGCTTGTTGTATAGACATTTGCCATTAACCTTTTTAAGCCACGATAATAATTTGAGTAAAATCTAAAATCAGAGACTTAACAGATATTAATAACTACAGAGTAATTGCAATCTCTCCCGCTTGTTCTAAAATATTTGAAGGTATTTGATTAGAAAGAATCATATTTTATGAGAATACTGATGATTTTCAGTTTGGTTTCAAGAAAAGTCATTCCACAATGTCTTGTACATATTATTTAAAAAAGACAGTTAAATACTTTATTTCTAGAGGAAGCCATGAATTTGCATGCTTTATAGATTTTATACTATTAAATATTAAAAACTGTTTTTCAAATTAATTTATCAGGGTATTGCCATAAATGTTGCCTATCTACTTGCATTTCCGTACAAGAATCAAACTATGTTTGTCAGATGGTAGAAAGTAAACTCTGACAGCTTTAACACAAGCAATTGTGTACAGCAAGGTAGAAATCTTTCACTGTTCTTGTTCATATTTTATATAAGATTACTGATTTTCAATATTACGAATATGCATATTGGATGTTACATAGGTGAAACTTTTTTGAATCTTTTGGCATATGCTGATGATATTGTATCGAGTGCTCCATCTTGGTTTGCATTGCAAAATTATTAACTGCATTGAATGTTGAAGCCACTGCCATTAACATGCCATTTAATAAAATAAAAAAAAAAAGGTGTGTATGGTGTTTAACCCAAAACAGGGATGTAAGAATGTGTCAAACAACTTTGCACTGTTTACCTTAGCTGGATGTGAATTAGTTTCATTGACAAATTCAAGTATCTGGATCACATAATAGAAAATGGTTTGTTTGATAATGCTAATAACAATTGAGAGATAAAATGTCTTTATACGGGTACAAACATTAATTAGACGATTCAAGAAATGCTTGACTAAGGTAAAAGTGCAACTATGAATGACCTACTGCCTATGTTTTTGTGGCTTTATGGACTAATTTTAGTGCAAATACTATGTTAAAGCCAGGCTCTTCATACAAAAAATGTGCTAAAATGTTTTTTGAATATGACAATTACTCAAGCGCTAAAAGCATTGAAAATGAATTATTATATAATCATTATTTTGTTACTTTTACAACTACTATTATTATATTTCCATTATTAATATACAGAATAAATATTTATTGAAATAAATTTTGCACTCAATTCAGTTGCAAATAATTTTAGTCATAGTATATTTGTTAGACCAATAGCTTTTTAACTATTTTTTCTTCACATCTTCTATAATTTAAAACACGTACTAGCAGCTTAGAAAAACCCACTGGTGAGCTCCGAAACTGTAATCAATCTAATAAATTTTAAACATAATGTTATATAAAATTCAACCAAAAGCAGACTTACTTTTTAATTGAAAATTTTATTAACTTCTATGTCTTTATAACTTATTTTTATCAAGTTATAAAAACATAGAAGGTCACACACACAGACAATAATGTTACAAAGAAAAAATAATAATTAAAGAATTATTTGAAAAATTATTTAATCAAAAAAAAACAACTGGTTTATATCTTTTATATTCATTAGCTCTACACCAGCTAAAAGGTTTAAAAAAGTATAAACTTACATAAAGTATAAATTATAATGTGATAAACATGTATAATATAAATACATATATGGTAATTCTGTACAAAAAATAAGAAACTGGTTTTATTAATCAAACACTGAGAAGATCAATAGTGAAAAAAGAAGGAATTGCAGAGTTTTGTAGTAAACGAACAGCAATATTAACAAATGACAAGGAAGAATGTTATTGGCAGTAAAAAAACAAAGTTTGAGCAAAAAGTTTAAGGTAATGAAATCTTAAAGCAGAAGATTTTACTTTAAGACAAAGAAAAAAAAGAAAAAGAAGGCAAATAAAAATAAAAGCAAGGCATAAAAAAACCAGCCTATGTCATAATGATACTAGGGATATAGGTTTTATTATACAGAATGAGGTGCTACTTTTGTAGTTACAAATATTTCAATAGATTGACAGAAAGATATTCAATTTAATTTACACAAAAACATTCAAGTTAATAAATGTGATAATAGTGATAACCTGAAAAGAAAGTATTAAAGAGAGCTTTAATTATGATTGTGAATTAGATAATTGTAAAAATTGTCTAATAAACGTTTTATTCAAATGATTTATTCATGCTTTGCTTTATGCTTCAAACTCGGCAATTTACAAAGTATTCAAACACTTTTATTTACAATTAGCATGATTATATCAGCGTATTATGTGCAAAAAAAAGATTTAGATGGTATAATTTTTTTTGCTTCAAGTCTTTTTATTATTTAATGAAACATTTCTTTTTTTTTATATAATTTTCAAAACCTTTTTACTACCCGTAATAGTGAATCTAAAGAACACTTTGGGGTCTTTAGATTAACTTTGCTCATCAGCATTAACATGAATTTAGTTCAATATTCATGTTCAAATCAATTTCATAGTCAACAAATTATTATACAGATGCTATAATATTTTAAAAGTGCCTTAACTACATAGAGTACTTCAATGAATATATTTTATGAAAAAATATACATACATAAAGATTTGTGTCAAGCAACTTGTGCAGAAAAAAAGAACATTGACATATTTATCAAAATTTCCCTAAAACAGTTGCTAAATATTGTTAAACACAACAAATAATAAAAAAAAAGTAAATCATGTAGAGAATGAAAGATATAAAATAGCAACTGATAAAAAAAAAAAAAAAATTGCTTAAAAGAAAATAATATAAAAAATATTTTTATGATAAAAATATTTTGATATCTATATCTTTTCTCTTTAAAAAAATAATGAAATAAAACAAAATTTATTGTTTGTACATATGTATATTTATCAAAAATGCACCAAAGTTTAATAACAAACTACTTACTTACCCAAAATAGGAATCAAAAGTGAAGACTCCTCTTTTGATTTTTTAGAAGGATTCAGGTTAACAAGAAACTTTAATAAAATATTTTGGTTTTTATTGCTTAATCCACAAATCATTGATAAACAACTCTTCAGCTTTTTATTTGCCATAATCTCTTCAAAGCTTAAACAATTGTATGCATATACAGATGCACAAAACTCCATTAGAGTCAAATGTGCAAATTGGTAAAAATAACCAAGATGTGTTTCAACCATTTCAATAAAACCAAAAAGACTTTCATCAACTTCATTAAAGTTATTGATAAATAGTAAAATTTCTTCTTTTGAAAAAATAAATTTATTTTCAATAAACAATTCAAAAGCTATCCTACAAATGGTTAAAACATATTTCTTATTATTTTCATTTGCCATCATTTCATAAATCAATCCATTGTTTTTGATAATGTGTTTTTGCAAAAAGTATAAAAAAATATTTGCATACAATTCTGTCATCGTTAAGAAAGAAGTTGAATATATTTTGCTTGAATCACTAATAATTTTACACATGGAAGATAAATAAAATGGAACAGTTGCCATAACTTTTGCAATTGGAGACTCTTTTAAAGTTGCTTTAACAACTTCTTTTTTTTCTTCTATAACATGATTTTCTACATAATTTTCAACTCCATCTTGGTTAAACCCCATTATTTGAATGGCTAACTTATCCCCATGCTCTCTATATATCTCTTGGCATTTATCAATTGCATAAACTCTACCAGCAACTACATGATTATAACTTAGAATTTCTGCTAAAGCATTAACAATCGGAAAGATACACCTTAAATTTGGATTTAATAACTCATTTAAATATTTAAATTCATCTAGTCCATCAATTATAAACAATGTAGTATGCTTACTAATATCAAAATCATTTAAAATATGTTTGTAGAAAACATTTAGTAATTCATTAATATTCGAAACATTTTGATATTGATTAAGCCTCCTGCATTCCAAATAAAATACTAGTTCAACATTATTCCAAATTATATTATTCGACCAATCGAGCAAACACTTTCTGAGCAACCATGTTTTTCCAATACCAGCTATTCCAGATATTAATATTACTGATTTTTCGTTCATAAATATTTCACTATATGGAATTGGTGTATAACTCATTTGCTTTTCAAGAAATTGTTTTCGTTCAATGCTACAAACAACATCCATTTGAGCATTTTGTGCATCAACAATACATAGATTAACAAATTTTTGTATTAGATCAACATTACCAGGTGCTTTTAATAGTGGTTGAAGTTCATTTATTTTGCCATAATATTTCAGATAATAGTTTTTTAGTGCTGTGTATACCTCTGGTATATCTAAACATCAATTATCATCATCATCATCATTATGTGCTAGTAACTTTTGATTTATTTATTATTATTCTATAATTATTATTATATTATTAAATCTGTAATAATTAAAAAGTAGTGTAAAGTTAAATTTCTAAAAAACTTTTTATTTAAGATTAATTAAAGTTATTACTTAGAACTACTCTTGTTACCTTTATTGACATGAACTCTGCTATCAAAATCTAGTGGATTTGAAGAATCTAAATGATAGTTATGCAAAAAATTTACTTTTTACAATGTTTATCCTACACAACTAACACAACAAAAAGATAAAAATAATGTTTACTAGTAACACATTACAAAACCAGTTTTTACGGTTATTCATGTTATTGTCATTTTGTACTTTTATTATTGTTTTTATCAAGATAATAATAAAAATTTTTGTTAGGGTTATTTTTTTACTTTGGTTTGTTTTTATCGTATGCCTTTTGTTGTAAGAATTTTGTACTATCAACTATTTTAAATTTATTATTTATTATTAAATATTTAACTATTTTAAAAACAATGTCTTGAATCGTAACAATCACAAATAACAAAATGCTATAACACTGCATCTATACCACTTTGAAAAAAAAAACTTGAACTGTTTAAAAAATAGGTAATTGTGCTTTCATTAATGGAACCCCATCCTCTCCAGCCTGTTACCAAGCTGTTAGATATTTCTTGGTATCACAATAATGCCCATTTTACAGGTTGCTAAGTGCATATTAATTGTTTATTGACTACACATTGTCCATAGAGCTTTTTTTCATAGCATCATTTTATAATAAAAGTTATCATAGTTTTTATGATTAGTTTTTTAAAATAAATTTTTAAAGACAAAAATATTAAATATACCATATCAATAGAAAAACAAATTTATTGGTAATAACATAACAATTTTTATAAATTTTGAAATTAAAGGTTTCAAGCTAAAATCTTAAATCAAAGCTGCACAAGCAAACCTGTATCAGCAATATACTTATAAGTTAATTCTTTTTAATCTGATCAAATAGATCAAATTAAATAGAATTAGCTAATTCTTTTTCTTTTAGAATTAGCTTATTCTTTTCAGAAATGGTTAGAATTAATTATAAATCAGCACAATAAACGTTTCGTTTCTAAACAACAACCCCTTATTTTATAATTTTTGTAAACTTACTTTTCTTTCTATTTTTAGTTTCGTTTTTTGTATATAGCAATGTAAACAATGTTACTGTAAATATATATTGATTGTTCTACGATTTTTTAATAAATTTTTAAACATATTATAGATAATAATCAAAGAAAAATAAAGCGTAAATTATCCTATTGCATTTTAAACAGATTCATTAGGAAATTAAGTTGTGTTAAGTTAAGTAAATATATAAACTAAATAATTATACTAGATATAGATAATTGCTAAAGAATACTAATATTATATTTCTGTATTTTTTAATCTTTTTGACATAACGCTGTCATAGATTTTCAAACCCTTTGTTTGTATACCGTTGAATAGTTTATATTTCATTAAAGCATTTTTTTAGTCTGAAGGTAAATTATAGGTTGCTTTGTTATTGTTGTTTTAACTTGATGAACTTTTCCTTTAATTCTCAAGTTTTGACAATTAAAATTGAAGATTAATTCTCAGTTTATTTTGCACTGCATATAATATATTTGCTTTTTTTTCTATAATAAAAAGTTTTTTCTAGAAGGTAACTTTTTTAATAAAAAATCTTATTTTTAACAAAAAACAAATAAGTAGAGTAAAAGCAAAGTCTTCACAAAAACTTCACAAAAATTTGTGAAGAGTGTTTTGTCTTCACAAAACACTCTTCACAAAAAGCTTCAAAATTCTCAATAACTAAAAATAACTTTTTTAATATTGAGAATTTTTAGGATTTTTTTTCTGAAATATAGTTGTTTATTAGAGCAATTGAGTAAGGTAAAAAAAACTTTGAAAATTTCAAGTTTCTATTAAAAATAAAAATCTAATTTTTTAAAAAAGTGTCAGCATATTGAAAAATTGTCCTATAAAGTGGACAGTTAAAATTATATGAAAAAAACAGATAAATTGATAAACTCAATATCTTTATTTTTAATGTTAAAATATACACATGATAATAATACAAACAGAAAAAAACTAGAAAAAATATTAAAAAAAAACAACATAAGAAAGCTTGAGCTTAAAATAATAAAAAAAAAAATATAAACTAGGGTCTGCAACTTTTTGTGCAAACAGAGGTAGAGCTCACAGAGCCACAAACTACAACTTTTAACAAAATTTTCATAAAAATTGCATCTCAAGCTTTTCATTTTTAAGAAGAGCCCAGTGTTTTAAAATCCAGCTATAAATTGAAGCTTTGTTGGTTTTAAACAACTGTGCATGGAGACTTTGAAATATTTTTTTGAAAAATTGCTGAAACCACTTTCAGCATAATTTTTTTTTTAACTATCATGTCAAACATCTTTGACATGGCGAAATACGCCAAAATCAGAATGTGAGATGAATGGGAACGCAAATTAGTGTTGTATTGTTTTCATTACAGTTTAAGGCTACATTACAGTTTAAGGCTACACTTAATGACACGTGTGTACTGAGGCCATTTAAAAGTTAAATATGTTGACCACATAATTTTTTTAAAGTGAGGAATAAACATTTCCTCAAGTCACTGCAAAAATTGATTACTTTTCATCCCACCAGATGGTGATGTTGTGCAAAAGTTGTTTGATGGGCCTTATTTAATCCAATCATCATTGACTTGATTCTTTGATTTGTAAACATCAAAAGGCAATAGAAGGAATTAGTCAGCATTAACGCAATTATGAACAGTGTATGAACTTTTTTGTTATTTCCAGTTAATACTTATGGACGCTTTGCATCTCATCTGGCAATTGTTTTCCAATTGTCTTCGTCACCATTGAAACTAGTTTCCTCACAATTCCACAAACTCATGGATATACTAAAACCTACTTTTGCCAAATTAAAATGTTTTTTATTGTATTGCGACTAACAACTACTGAAGTATTATTTGAATTTCAGTTAGAAAACATTGATTTTGGTAAGGGGTAGAATTGAGCTTAAGCTTAACTCAGCATTTTCAATATTATCTGATGCTCTTTTTAATGTCTCCTCAGTATAAGGCTTCTCTTTTAGAGATTTAGAAATTTAAAAAATAAAGATTTTTGAAATTAAAAAAGCACTTTTGTGGTTACTTTGTGTACTTTTGCACTTTAACTTTAAAAAGTGTAAAAGTACAAACTTAATTTACATGAAAGTGTAAAAACTTTTTTAACCTAAATGAAATCAGTGTGAAAAAATAATAAAATGAAGGTAAATCTGCAGTTAAGCGGCCTAAAATAATTATAAATTTTTACTTAAAAAAATCAACGGTGGTGAGCGTATTATGTAAAGTTGCGTTACGTAAGATATCATAATTATTAAAAAATAAATTTTAAATCAATTATTAAATTTTAAAAGCGAGTTTTAAATTTTATCTAGGAGTTTAGTTAGCGTTTTCAAAGTTTTTATATAAATATTATTTTTATATAATATATTAATACAATATGCATTATTTTATATATAATAATATATATATATAAAATAATATATAATAATATATATATATATATATATATAAAATAATGCATATTGTATTAATATATTATATAAAAATAATATTTATATAAAAACTTTGAAAACGCTAACTATATATATATATATATATATATATATATATATATATATATATATATATATATATATATATATATATATATATATATATATATATATATATATATATATATATATATATATATATATATATATATATACATATATATTAAATTATTATTATTATATAGAAATATATTTGAAAATAAAAATATAATTTTTTTTAAAGCTTTCTTATTTTAAACCTTTCAAAGCAATTAAAACTCGTTTTGAATTTCTTTTGTTTTTTAGTCTCCGCGAACGAGAGCGCAAAAAGCAAAATAATATAATTATTTTACGCCGCTTAACTGCAGATTTACCAAAATAAATAAAAAAATAAATAAATAAAATAAATTAAAAAAATATATAAAGTGAAAAAGTAATAAACATATTAAGCTATTACCTTTTAGTTGATTATATGTCCGTTTAACCCTTTGACTGCGGCAAAACACGATCGTGGTTTTTCCATTAAAGTGCGGAGAGCCACAATCGTGTCTTTTAAAATTGATCTTTAAAATTATGAACTTGATTGCAACAGCTTTTTAAAAATTTTAAAAATCAAATCTTTCAATTTTTAAAATTAAATTTTTAGTTTATAAATTATCTAGATGTTATAAAATGAAAAATGGCATGAAAGTCTAAAAAAAAAAAAAAAAATTCCATTTCCGTTTCTTTTAGTTGAATTTTTTAATGGAACAATTTTTTAAAATTCTAAAACTATTTTTGGAATTAGCATAAAAGTTCCAACAAAATAGCTTCCTTTGTTTTTAAATTGCTTTTAAATTGATTTTTCATACTAAGAACCTAACTTCCGCAAAAAAATTTGATTTTAAGGGTTATACTTTGTTTGAACTTAAATTTCTTATTAAAACAATCATTTTGAAAGGATCCCTAAGTGCTATAAAGATATGATCTCATATGAAGGAGCATAAAAAAAAAAAAATGTTTTATGTATATTATTTTTTCTAAAACGTAATAACGAACACACACTAACAAATTTAATTTTCAAAAAAACGCTTTTCTTCGATTAAAAAATTGCGCCTTGTCCAAAGTTTATTGACTCTAATGCCTCAAAAAACTAACGTTAGTACGTCAAATTAAACAAAGTAGACAAAAAGTCATTATTGCAAACTTATTAGTTGGTAATTAAATTTAACTAACAAATAATTACTTACATGAATAAGTTTTGTAGCATTTTGTGAAAATATATTTGTATATTAAAGTTTTTTTTATAATATTAATTTTTATATTTGTGTTATAAGGGCAATTCCACGGCTAAAAATGAATAGAAGTCAAATTTTAAACTCTTTTTAGTCAGTTAAAAACAAATGAATATTGACTTAGACATATGAAAGTTTATTTAAAATATTGCCTTAGTAAAAAAATAAATTTATTTCAGTAACTTTTATGGTTTCAAAAGTGACGGTTACTCTCATTTTTGCTTGATAAAAAAAATAATGATTGTAAAATGTTTTAGTTAAATTAACATTTATGTTAAATTGCTATATTTTTTTGGTTCAAATTGATAAGGTTGAAAAGACCTTTTATTAGAAATTAAACTAAGACAGGGCTCGAACTAACGCAAAAAAATCTAATCGCGAAAAAAAAAATTTTTTTTCTCTCTTTCCCCCCCCCCTTTCTTTCTTATAGTTCGCGCCGATGTGCGGTAATGGGGGAAAAAAATTATCGTCAATAAATCAAAAAACATCGTCAAAAACTTAATAAAAAATTAGATATCACGTTTTTTATAATTTATTGTTTCTTGAACAAGGACTAATAAAGTTTAAATATAATTAAGTTTTTTATTTAAATAGTTGATGTTTTTATTTAATTTTTCTATTTCAAGTTTTCCAATAATAGATAAAACAAAAAAATTTGGTTTAATAAATCGAATTATACTTCATGTTTAAAATAAGGCTTAAAAACGTTAAAGTAAAAAAATTGCTGGTTTTTATTAGCATTTTTATACTGTTCAAAAAAAACTAATAAAAAAGAATTAGCTAATAATATATTAATAAATAATTATATATTATTTCTTTTTTATTAGTTTTTTTTTTTTCAAACAGTATAAAAATGCAAATAAAAGTCAGTAATTTTTTTGCTCTAACGTTTTTAAGCCTTATTTTAAACCTGAAGTTTTGATAAACATAGATAAAAACCAACTTTTCAACTTTTCGCTGTAAAAATTTTCCACGCAGAGATTTAAAGTTATTGAAATTCAAAAATGTTTTGCGTTAAAAGAAAATCTCCGCGCGAAAGTGCAAATCATCTATTCAGAATAATAAATTCTGTGTGACGTATTTTATGATAAAAAAATTACTTTTAAGAATTGCTAAAAAAAATGCTAAGCTAGAAAAAAAGTAATTAATCAACCAAAAAAAAAAACCATTTGCGGTGATTTTCGAGTCGCGAAAAGATTTTTTTTAAGAAAAAACTAATCACAAAAGTGTGTGTAGCAATCGCGATCGCGATACGCTTAATACGAGCCCTGTAAGACTTTTTTATAAGTTCTAAACTATTTAAAACTATTACTTATAACTTTTTTTTTAACGACGTCTTCCAACCAAATGCTATTATACTGTTTTTGCAAAACTAATTAAAAAAACTTGATTAAAACTTAACTATTTAATCGTGACTTTTTTTTACTTAAAAATCGAAGTAGATATGCTAAAGTTGTTGTGACGTACTAACGTGATTTTTAACGACTAACAATCGAGTTTCAATGGTAAAAAATAAAATCAAAATGGAGTTGTTTTTTAGTGATTTCGGCATTTGCTTTTTGTTAGCATGCATTTATTACAATTTATTACAAATTAGTGAAAAAGAAAAAAAACTTAAATATTTTTTTTTTATGCTCTTTCATATGAGATTATATGTTAGGAGCACTTAGGGATCCCTTTAACATTTTTTTTGTAATCTATAATTTTCTACACACTGAAAGTTCAAAACTTTTTTAAAACTTCTTTTTTAAAATATCTATATTTTTAGTAAAGATATTTAGTTTTCCCAACAAATTCCCTCTTTTGCCCACTGTCCGGTTTGTTGGATTTTTACTCTATTTCAGTTAAAAACAAATATATTAAATATGTTTTTCATATTAGTGATGGTTAACAAACATTGCACTTTTAGTAATGATATTAATTTTAAATCTCTGTTGGATATACCTTTTAAACCATAAATTAAGTGCTTAGACAGAAAAAAAGTCACAGTTAACAATACTCAATTAAGTTTCTAAATAGAGGAACTAGAAATTTTAATTTTATGTCATACTTTATGTACAGTGCTGAGCCACAATCCGTAGATGTACTAATCTTATTTACTTCAACTTTAGACCTCATAAAATTTAACAATAAAAGTGAAAAAAAAAAAAATCCATTTAACTAATTGCTTAAACAAGGGATCAGCAACCTTTTGAGACAAACGAACTAAAAGTTACAACTTAAAAAACTTTTCAGATTTTCAAGAACAACCAACATTTTTATTTCAGAATTCTAACCACTGTTTTTATTTTCATAAAAACATTGGTTAGAGTTCTGGCTTAGAACCAAGAGGTTTGACATCTGCTCTTGCCCAATAATAAATATAAACCGTATTTCTTCCAGAAGCATCTTGATATCAACCATATATATATATATATATATATATATATATATATATATATATATATATATATATATATATATATATATATATATATATATATATATATATATATCCTTATAGTGTAGTCGAAAGAGTCTTTTAATGTAAAAAAAGTCTCTTTCGACTACAATTTTAATTAACTCGTCTCTTAAGCTGTATTTGATGGTCATCGAAATGTCAAACAATTAAATTAATGCAGAAGTACATTAAATTTTATTGTTTTCTAAAAAATTTTTTCAATGTAGCAACAGGGTGCTGCTACATCGACTGACAAATAGCCTGACTCGCAAGGGAGTGCTGCTACATCGACTGACAAATAGCCTGACTCTCAAGGGAGTGCTGCTACATCGACTGAGGGTTTGGTTTGGGCAAGCAGTCTATCATTTTAAGAGTATATATATATATATATATATATATATATATATATATATATATATATATATATATATATATATATATATATATATATATATTTGTGCATGGAGCTAAAGAGCTGCATCTTGACATAAATAAAATAAAACAAAAGAATAAAAAAAAAAGCTAACAAATTCTTATAGACATTAACCTAACATTGTTGATTTTAGCTTTTTACTTTATCTAATTACCCCTTGATTTGTGTCTTATTTCTGACCCTGGATATCACTCGTTTTTTATATTTTTCTTTATGTGATATCAAGTCACGAAACCTATACATTATGTGCGATAAAAATACAGATAATGTAAAAACTGCAACTGTATAAATAGAGCTACGTGTTCTTTAAAAAATCAATGTCTATTTAAAATTATTGTCTATTTAATTTTAAACCTTGATAAAAATAATTTAAACTAATTTAACAAAAATTAATAATTAAATCAAAATTTGGTATTTGAAAAAGATTATATTACCATAGAATTAATTTCATAAAACAATCTTATACTTAATATAACATTCTGTTTGTTTATCACAATTTATTTGTTTTAATTTTAATGTATTTAATGTAGTACTTTTAATAAAGATTATAAACATTTTATAGATAGATTTTATCAGTTACCAATAAGATATTTGTAAACATAATTTATATTCTTGAACATATTTTGTCAAAGAACTTTACACGACATTGAATTAATAAAAAACAAAAAATGCTTTTGTGAAAATAATTCTGTTAAACAAAAGCACTTCTCCTTTTTCATAAGGAAAAAAAAAGTTTTTTTTTTGCTTTCAATAATCTATGATAATATAAAATAGTTTTTTTGTTTAAACAATAAAGCTTTTCAGTAAATAGAAGGAAATAAAAAGAAAATATGATTTCTGTTTGGTATTGTTACCTCCAAATTTTGTTTCAATTTTATTCACAATATCTAAACGATCAAAATCCATTAACTTTTTTTTTAATTGCTCCCATGAAGGATTTCCATTTTTTTGCTTCCATTTTTTCAAAACATTATCAGCTTTCTCATAACAATTTTTGTTATCAGATTCAATATTATCAAGATCTGGATCACTTAGACCAAGGTGTCTTCCCCATCGCAACCAATCACTTCCAATATTATAGCTTATTTCACCACACAGTTTTGAAATAAATTCGTCAGAAGCCAATTCATGTCTAGACACTAAACAAAAGAAATTTAAACTTTAAACAAAAAAAGAGGCAATTAAATTTATAAAAACAAAAAATTGAAAAAAAATTTGGTGTTTATTTGTACATAAAAATAATTTTGTAAGAAATTTAAACAAATTGATCAACAGATTGATTTACTAGATAACATAATTGGTAAAATGTATGATATATCAAAAGTGTTAAAATTCATAATTTTAAAAACAAGATCTATAACAATACAAAAATTATTAAATTTAAGGATAAACACAAAGATTATTGATTAACAACAACAAACTTTTTATTTTATTCAATATCAAAATTAACAACAAACAAAAATGTAACAAACTGTACTAAAATTAAACTATTATTTATGTTACAAGCTTTATTAACATTCCTGTCTTCATAACCACTAAAGTCCGCTGTGATTTAAAGTTTATTGAGCCATGGAAAATGCATATTTTTAACAGTGATACATATAAAATACATGGAACTACAAATTTTTTTTCAGCTAAAGACAACTTTATTAAAAGAAAAATTTGAAAAGCATCAGAAGATGCTCAAAGTCCACTTATTTATTAAACAAAGCTATGCATAAATTATTCATGCAAATAAATAAATAAATAAATTATGCTAAAAACACTTTTTTGATTTTTAGTGGGTAGGAAATATCTGTTTAAGTTAAAATTATTATTTTCTTTGTATCTGTATTGCTGAGAAACGTAAGTCAAATTTAAATGTCTTTAAATAATTATAATGCAGAAAACAATAAAGAAAAATTAAAAATCTTTTGTTTAGTTTTTTATATTGATTAGCTTATAAAAATAGTTACATTTTAGTTTTTTCTTTTTTCTTGACATTTTTTTAACTATTTGTGTTAGAGATTGAGAAACGCAATACTTGTGGACCTTATTGCTTGCAGAGTCACTGACACTAGAAACAAACCATTCAGTGTAATGAGCATTACAGTCACCAACAACACTAATATTAGCTGATGGATAAAGAGAAAGGGCTTGGTCAATATAATCAAAAACAACAAAAAAAAAAAGGCGTCTTGATATGAAGGAGAGCCATATAAAAAAAAGAGAATGGCAATGAGGTGATGACTAAAGTGGTGCTAAACAAAAGCACATAAGAGAATAGTCGGTTGGTTCAAACCTAGTTTCCCAACAAATAGATGAACTCTTATGAATGTAAATACCCAGTCAGGCATATAAAAATTGGAGTTTTTATTAGTTAAAGAAAAATACTCCAAGCAATTGCGTACTTTCTATAAATATATCCTTATTTGTAACAAAGGGGTCAAAATGTGGCTTACACAATGCACACCAAAACTAAAAACAGAGACACCATCCATGCACAACATGACACTATTAGAATTCTGATATTTTACAGCGTTTGATGGAATTAGTCTCTCTGAAAGATACCACAAAGTTCAGGAAACCTGACTACTAGCCAGCCTCAGAATAAAAAAAATGAGTTTCATAGATATTAAGTTTTTATTTATATCTAATAGTCTAACAGATTAAAAAAGAAGAGTGAAACTGGTCAGCAGATAGCATCTATTTACCCTTTAATATGCATATAAAATATATATAGCTATAAAATACAATAAGTTCTTTTCTGGTGTTGTGTTTTGTAATATCAATTTGAGTTGTGTTTTGGAGTTGTGTTTGGAGTTTGTGTTTTGGAACTTTGGAGTTGTGTTTTGGAACTTTGGAGTTGTGTTTTGTAATATCAATTTGAGTTTCCATTTAATACTTGTGAGTTTTCAATTTGACATTTAAGATTTTTTTTTTTTTTAAACAGTAAGTTTCTGTTTGCTTATATTTTTATTTTTTATTTCATTTAATTCACTTTTAACAAGAAACCACTATAAAGTTGAGACTACACTATAAAATAAAATAGTGTTAAAAAGCAAAGAAACAGGTTTAGAGAAGAACTAAATAGTTGAAGATTACATGATTATATAAAAGATAAAGATTAGAGAGAGTGGAAAAGCATTGAAGTGTATGGAAAGATACTAGATAGATAAAAGATTTTAGAGCATGAAAGGACAGAGAAAAAAAAAGAACGCAAACTTGATGAATGACGAGTTAATCTGAAATGAGTGTTGGTTGGTGGAGCTAAAGATAATAGTTATTGTAGTGCATTGACTATTGTTGTATTTGTAAAAAAGAAAGAGATGCAAGCTTACGACGATGGCAGAGAGGCTCAATCTTATTTAATAGGTCCAACTACGTTAATAACGTCTTTTCGGACCTTGTTTAGAAGAGAAAGATCATAATTAGAAGAACCAGCCTAAATAATAATAGAACCAGCCTAAACTTATTTTGTATAATTGATGTTTTACAACAGTATCCAATACAGAAAGGTTCATCTTTTTTTTTAAACAAAATTTCTTAAAGTACAAATATTATTGATAGTAGTTAAAATAAAAAGAAAGGCTTTCATTAGTTTTAAATGAAGCTTTAATATATTTTATACTTATTATATTATACAACTCTTGAAATTAGGATAAGCATTCAGCAATGTCTCTCTAAGTGCAAACTTTAAAGTGTTTGTGGTCAGCAAAAGTTCATAAAAGATCATAATTAGAACAGTATTCAATACAGAAAGGTTCATCTTTTTTTTTTATTCAAAATTTCTTAAAGTGCAATTAATATTGAAAGTAGTTAAAATAAAAAAAAAAGGCTTTCATAAGTATTAAATGAAGCTTTATATTTATTGTGTTTTACAACCCTTGAAATTGGAATCAGCATTCAGCAATGTCTCTCTAATTGCCAACCTAGAAGTTTTTGTGGTCAGCAAAAATTCTCAGACCTTATTTCTATATTTTATGAAAACCGCTATGTGTCAAATTATTTTCCAAACCTGATGCCAACTTCTAACAGTTTGAGGATGGCAATTTGCTTCTGACCTCAAACTGTTAGAGGTTGATTTCAATTCCGAATGCTAACAATCAAATAATATTATTATACATTAAATATTTTGCAAGAACAAAAAAAATCTGTTTGCTCTAGAAAAATGAAAAAAAAAAAGATAATTAAAAAATATTCTATACTTCTAAATTAAGATCAATAGTTTAATAAGCAGTAAATTATTGGAATAACTAATACAACTTAATTATAGAAATAAAAAGTATTTTTATTTCTATAAATTCCCTTATTCCAAGAATAATAAAATGATATACAGAAATGAGTCATTTTTTATTTTGTATAATTGATGTTTTTTTTAAGGTATGCAATTTAAATATCATCATTTTTGTTACAAAAATAAATAACATTTCAGTTTATTCAATAGTTATGTTTTCTTTTAATGTCTTTTTTATCATCAACTTTTCTTCATTTATTTTCCATTTACTGTTTTCTCACAATAACATTTCAAACTTATTAACGATTGTTTTTCAATTTTTTCTCCTTATTCAAATCTTTGTGTGCTGTAAAATTCAACAAAATCTGAACTTTTTTCATGACAAAGTATGCCGCTTTAACGTGGGTATACCACTGGAACTTATATATTACAAAGAAATAAGTTTATTCTAACTAAAATTTGATGAACTTTTTATAACATTTAGACGTTAGGTACCAAACTATATGTCATCATAGCTTAGCAAGAAACATGTGTGTTCTCTTCTCTGTATCAAAGTTTTAAATATTTAATATAATTAAAAGCCTAATATCTAATTAAAACAAAATAGATATGCACAAATAATATAAATTAATATAATTAAAAAAATATATATAATTATATTTATTTTTTTTAATTATATTAATTTATTTCTTATTATTTATTTCAAAATTTATTAATAAATTTATTAAATTAAATATGTAATTATATTTATTTATTTCATATTAATTTAGTTTTATTTATTTTTTATTTTATTATATATTTTTTTTATATTATTATATTTATTTCTTTCATATTAATTTATTTCTTATTATTTATTTTGAAATTTATTTCTTACAATTATATTAATTTATTTCTTATATTTAAATTTATTTCTTATAATTATCGAATTTATTTCTTATAATTTTAACAATTATAATTATAATTATTATATAACTATCGATTTTATTTCTTATAATTACGAATTTTATAATAGAATATTTATAATAGAAATTTATAATAGAATATTCGAATATTTCACTAAAAATAACCAATTCTACCCAAAACAATTAAGATTTCAAAAAAAATCACTCAACTAGGCATGCAATTATTGAAATAGTCAACCAAATAATTGATGGGGTTGACAATAACAAATTTACTTTAGGAGTATTTATAGATCTATCTAAAGCATTCGACACTGTCGACCATTGCATTTCTTACAAAAAATTAAGCATTATGTTATAATTAATACAACCTATTTCTGGATTAAAAGTTTTTTTACTGATAGAAAGCAATATGTTCATAAGGTGCAATCTGGAATATTAAATGTCGTTTGCGGAGTTCCAAAAGGATCAATCCTTGGTCCGCTCTTATTCTTAATCTATATTAACGACTTTTGTAATGCATCCTTAAAACTGAACTCAATAATGTTTGCAGACGATACTAATTTATTTCTTGCCAATAATCATATTAAACATCTTTATACAGATATGAACATAGCATTGAATAAAGTAAATAATTGGTTTAAAGCTTGTTAGATGTTGAGAAAACCAACTATACTATATTCCATAAAAAAAACTCAAGAATTAAACAATCCTCTTAAATTGCGCGAACTGTACTTGAATGATACAATAATTAAAAAGCAAGCAAGTATAAAATTCCTCGGAATCCATGTCGATGAAAATTTATCCTGGCTTTCCCATATATATTACATACATTCAAAAGTTACCAAAACTATTGGCGTAATGTATAGGGTTAGACCATACGTCAATATGTTAAGTCTCAAATCAATATACTTTAGACTGATACACTGTTTTATTAATTATGCAAATATATAATAGGCAAGAACGCAAACTTCAAAACTTCTAAAAATTTATAGGCTCCAAAAACACGCTTGCCGTATTATATACTGTAAACATAAACGTGAACATGCAAAACCTCTTATGAGAGATATGAAAATGATGGATATATTTGAAATAAATATTTATCAGCATCTAATTTTTATGAATAGATACTAAAACAACCTCTTGACAGCAAACTTCAAAGATAAGTTCGAAATAAATTTAAATGAAAAGTATGGTCTAAGATCAAATAGAAATAAAAACTTTAAATTGCCTCGGATATATGTAATAAACACTCAGAATTTTGTATATCTTATCGAGGACCTAAATTATGGAATGACTGTCAAAAGGAATTTAAATTTATGGTAAAGTCTTTAAATTCATTTAAGTTTCAATTAAAAAAAGAAACTTTTAAAATTTGAACTTAAAATAAAGTTTTTTCTTTTTACTTTTTTGATTAATTTAACCTTGTCTTGACATTTTAATGATAACATTGTTATTATTATATTTTTATACAAGCTATTTATTCTTACGTTGTTTTATTTAAACTTGTACCTTGGGGTTCTATGAAAAGATTGCGATAACGTAATGTTATCCTTATCTTCTTTGAGCCCCTATCTGATTTAACTTAATTTTGTTGTAATGTATATACTTTTATATTTTATTTTATGAGATTCCATATGTATATGTGTATTGTAATAATATTATACGATGTTAACAAGAAAAAGAAAAAAAAAAAGATCCTTTATGGGTGTTTTCAGTACCTTCTTTAAGTTCTTTTTTTTCTACTCTTAGTGGAAGTAGTAATACTATTTCGGATAGATCAATACAAACAGTTTATCAATATTTTTTTTTTCTTCTTTTTTTTATTTTAATTCACCTCATCAAGGCCGAGAAGGCCACTACAGACAAGGAGGCTACTTATTTGTGGCTATAACCCTCTCTCAACTCTATAACTCTGAAACACAAACCTTAACGAACAAGGATGCTGCGCGGAGAAACGAATTGAGCGCGGTACTACCAGGGACCTGGTGGGGATCGAACTCAGAACCACTCGTTTATGAAGCGAGCGCTCTACCACTACACCTCAACCGCATTAATAATATAAGTATAAATATATAAGTATAAATCAAAAACAATATTAAAAACAAAATTATTATAGATATGCACTAATTTAAACTCTTAGTGTCATCATTTTAAGTGGAAAAAATAATTAACATCTCAGTTTAATCAACAGTTATGGTTTCTTATAGTAATATTGCTTTTATTTCATAATCTTTTCTTCGTGTATTTTCTGTTTGCAGTTTTCTCATATTAACCTCTTTTAAATTTATAAACTTTGATTATTTTTCAAAATTTTCTCCTTATCAAAACATTGCATGGTGTGAAAATCAACAAATTTGAACTTTTTTCTGCTTGTAATATTATATAGTAGTGCAATATTGAATTCTTTTTTTTCTATCCTGCCTGAAACCATTGCACAGACACTTCTTTTATAATAATAAGATATGCCTCTTTACATAGGTATATTCCTGGAACTTATATTTTAAAAAGAGTTAAGTTTATTAGTCTAGTAACTAAAGTTTGCGTTTTTCTGCTCCGTGCGTGATTCTGATTCGAACTTAATTTATTCTAATGAATAACATTTTTTGTAAACCAAATATTCAAAGAGATTAGAATTAAATAAGAATAAAGTGGAGAATGCCAGTTTTATTATTATGATAATAAAAGACAAAATAATTACGAGTTTCCATGCTTGATTTTTTTTAAATGCCTAGCACTGATTTAAAATATAGCATTACGTTACTCGCTTTACTGTAGAACATGTGTTTATGAGAAGAAAAAATATAACACTGGTATTTTAAAATAAGATTTTAGATGATTATTTAGTAAAAACTTCAAGAAAGTTACAGGATTGCACTACCATCAAATTATTAGAGTTACAGCTATCGTTTAAATCCAGTTGTATGTATGGTGACACACGGAAATCACAGAGAGAAGTTGAAAATTTGTTGATTTCATGTTGTGATTTTTATGAAAACTAGTTAATTGTGAGTATTTTAAGCACAATTTTAAATCTCTACAAATCATATTTATTATATTGAAAATATTTCATATTGGCTTGAAATTATATCGAATTTATGGCTTTAAATTGTTTGCAAAAGTAAATAAATCAAAATTTCTTTAAACTTTTGCACTTAGTAATACATTATAAATCATTTTTAGAGAATTATAGTTATAAAACTATAAACCAAATAACACCAGAATGGAGTATAAAAAAGCTTTTTTTTTTTTTGAAGCTTTGGAAGTGCCCCAAAGAAATTTTTTATTACACCAAATGTCACTAAAAATGTTACCTAAAGTCATACTCTACACTTTATTATTTAGAAAGAAATGTGTTTTTAGAACTGCAGAGCTCAAAGAGTAAAAAGAAATGCAACTAGCCTTGTCCAACCCTGCTCCTTTGTGTTAATAATCTTTGCTATTTAATATTTAGGATTTTGCCATTACATTGCTTGTCAATTTATAATTTAAAGTTTCAAATTAAAATCATTAAAATAAGTAAACAAATAAAAAAATAATAATAATAATAAAGATATACCTTCTTTTTCAACTGAGCTGCTAAATAAACAATTTCCCATTTTATTGTAGAAACCTTAAATAGATCACACAATAAATTTATAACAATATAAGAAATATTTCTTAATACCAAGAAAATATCTTTATGAAAAAATATACAAAGCAAATATATAGAGGCCCATGGTAAGGTAAAAAAGGCCCATAGTAATGTAAAAAATAGTACTATTTTTAATTGATTTTAAAATTGCTGATTTAATTACTTTTTCAATATGTTGTTTTAGTTAGTTACTTTTAGAATATTTCGTTCGATGTACATAATGATTTCTAAATAAGTATTTTATATAGTCATATATCAAAAACTTTGTTTTTATAGTTAACTTTTTACTGAGAATTTATTTAACAGTATTAAATGCTTTATTAGGGATACCAAATCATACAAAAAACTATATATATATATTTTTTTAAAAAGTGCTTTTTTACTAACTAAATTTCTTGTATCACCTTAGTAGAAAAGTTCAAAAAGAAAAACAAAACAAAATTTAAAAAAAAAAAAAATCTCATTATATTATAAGTATTATAATTTATTATAATACTTATATATTATTTAAATTACTGTAAAATTCGAAATCTCCTTTTATTGAGCAATGCACAATCAAATAAAAAAAGTGACAACAATGTCTCATTAAATTACTTATATTAAAATAAAATATAAAATATAGCAGACTAAATTTTAAATATTCATAAGTTCATTATGAGAAAAGCCGTAAACTTTAACAACTTTACTTGCGTTTTAGTTAGATCCCTAGCTCTAACCATGTTTGTAATCTAGATCTACTGCTCTAATCATGGTTGTAAATTTAACAAATTTGTTGAGATTTAACAAATTTCTAATGTAATAAATATTTCAATACTGTCATTGTACTTATGATTTCATAACAAAAATAACAGAAATGCTCTAATCTGCATTAGATGGAATAGGAGAAGTTAGATTTTTTTGTTTTCTTGTAGGAGAGTCTTGAACTTGTAATAGAGGCTAGCATACTTGACCATAATCATTCTTAATATGTTTTTAGATTTACTGAGTCAAACCTAAGTTTTTAAACTTTTAAACCTTTCTTCTCTAGGTGCTCTAAATTAGTTTTATTAGCATATGATACAATAATACAATCTAAATATATAGTTGCATCATTATAGATATATGATGTAGTCTTGATATAAAATGTGGGGGGTCGTTATGGTCGTTATGCAAATGTCGGTAATTTTTTAAAAACAAGGACCTTTTTTTTTTTTTTTTAGACGGCAAAAGTTGTAATGTCCCCCCGCCCCCACGTGATAACTACTCGTGCCAGCCCTGTTTATATATGTATATATATATATATATATATATATATATATATATATATATATATATATATATATATATATATTTATATATATATATTTATATATATATATATATATATATATATATATATATATATATATATATATATATATATATATATATATATATATATATATATATATTAGGGTGGTTCAAAAAACAACATTTTTGAAAAAATTCTGCTCCTACCCCCTAAATGTGTTCTATTTAATACAAAAACACTAAGTTTAATTTTTTTCTGAACAAAAAATATTTTTAGGGTTGCCGCCAGACCCTCGAATATGTTCCGGGTCCTTAATATTTTCAAATAAAAAGTTTCCCAAAAATAGGTCAACCTGGTACTCAAAGGAAGTGAAATTATATAAAAAATTTCAAAAATAATATCCATTTAAATAAAATATTGTTATATTAAGTTTTATTACATAAAAAATCATGATTTTTAGCAAAAAATAAAAAAAGTGAATTTTGCATGATAATTTTGATAAATAAGTTTAAACATCAATTTATTGTTTTATTGTATTTATTAATTATTTTTAATAATTTTAATTAAATATATATATTAAAACTATTAAAAATAGATATATTAAAATAATAACAATACAAATAAATCATATTAAAAAACCGTTAAGAAGACATTAAAAAGATGAATTGAAATCAAGTGGAAAACTATTTAGATTTTAAACTATTTTTAATTTGACGTTTTGTAGAAGACTCGGAAAAGGTTGAGGTTGAAAATGCAACTTTAAAATATCAAGACGTAAAAATTTACTCAGCACTACTCTTTTTTGAGGGTTTCTCAAGCAGTTTGAACGTTCCCGTCTTGATTTCTAACCCAGCACGGACGTAAAAAAGACGTCTTTTAAACGTAACAAACGTCTTTTTACACGTTTTGGACGTCTTTTGAACGTTTTAGACGTCTTTTTTCGGTCCGGTGCACACTGGCAAATCAGCCTAGTAGTTACGAGACCGGAGAACCTGAAGAAGATAAAGTCTTATCATCAGTAATCTTTGGTAATAAAAATTGGAAATAAAAGTGTTTTGTTAAAAAAAATCATATAAAGATTCTTGATTGGCAATAAGTTCGATTATGTTCTTTATAAATTTTTGAGAGGTATTGACTTCTTTAAGATTACAACTCAGGTTTGTAAAATGGTTCCATAGCATTGGGCCACGATAGGAAATAACAAAGCTCGTAAGTTTTGATGAGCGGAAAGGTTTTATTAATCTTTCGGTAGATCGTGTATTGTATCGGTTTAATGTTTTACGGAAAATATTTTCAAAAACATTCAGCGTTTTTCTTGACTGGTGTTAAAACATAAATTGTGTAATTTTAATATTTAGTTAATAAATATCAAGTGCCTTCATATTTTTTAAAAAAGGTTTAACATTTGTGAAGCGATTTTGAAAATTGCTTCACAAATGTTAAACCTAATGCGCGCTGCATGATACTGTTGTTTAAGGAGACATTCAAGTTTGACATAACTATTCATGAATGCAAAATATACCTGAGTTAGTTTAGATATGTCTAAGATTTGTCTGGTTTTATATAAAATGCCAATATTTCTTGAGATTTTATTGCTAATATGTTTAATATGTTCTCTCCAGGATAAGTTTTCATTTATTAAAATACGAAGTAATTTATTTGTGAATGAGCGCTCAATTTTGATGTTATTTATATATAGCATTAGTAAGGATTTTCGAATATATTGAAACTTTCGTTTAGAATAAGGAAAACTTAGTTTTATCAGTGTTTAAAGATATTGATATTTGTTCTAGTTCATTTTTTGCTACTTGAAATAGAGAGATAATGTTACTGTGAGAATAGAATTGAGTGGTGTCGTCTGCCAACATAATAGTAGACATAGTATTTGATGCTTTATATAGATCGTTGACATAGATTAAGAAAAGCAGCAGCGGACCTAAGATGGAGCCTTGTGGAACCCCACATGATTTTTTAAATTTGTTTGTCTGAAAGCTGTCATTTAGAGAAATAAACTGCTTTTGATCAGATAAGTAAATGGTAAACCATTTGTGTCATTTGTGGTTTATTCAATAATGCTTTAGTTTTTCTTATAAAATTTGATGGTTAACAGTGTGTTAACGGTGTTAACGGTGGTTAACGGTTAATGAGAAGATGCTCCACTGATAACTTCAACATGTTGCATAAGTGCATGTTCCGTAGAGTAAACTGATCGAAAATCATATTGGTTATAATAAAGAAGATTGTTATCATTCAAAAATGCAAATATCATATTATACATGATACCTTTGAGGATTTTTGAAAAAATAGGTAACACAGATATAGGTTGATAATTTGTAACCAGACATTTATCTCCTGATTTAAAAATAAGTGTAATAATAACAACTTTCAGTTTATCTGGAAAAACACTTGTTTTAAGCAATTTGTTAAAAATTTTAATAAAACGTCTTTAAGAAGTTTAAAGCAGTCTTTGATTATGCTTGCTGAAATAGAGTCATAGACTGTTGCTTTGCTTATATTTAGTTTTTTTATGGAGTCATCATGTTCTTTTTTTAGTGAGCTTTTTAAATGCTAAGCTTTTATCCGACTTCGATAGATAGTTCAAGAAATCTGCAGGAGTGTGTTTAATTTTACTGGCTAAGTTTAGACCAATATAGACCAATATTTCTATATATTATTTCTATATATTATTTCTATATACTATAGACCAATATAGTCTATATATTATTTTGTTTCTTTATAAAATTTATATAATATTATATAATAAATTTTTTTTGTTCTATGAGATTTCATGCAATTGTAAATTTTATTTTACTATTATTGTTATTATTGTTCCTGTTATTATTTTGATATTTTACATTATTATTATTTATTTATTATTAACTTCATAAAATCGACATGATGTGATCATAATATTCATGATTAAGCAAGGTAAACTTAGCTGTTCTGAAATATCCGTTATTAGATGTGATCAAAATAAAACTATAAGACTTATAAAAAGAATTGAATTTTTAGAATCGAAAAAGAAACCGAAAATTGTTAAGCTGCGTTTTGGTCAAATCTTTATGACAAAAATATGCGGAAAAAGCTATTGTTGTAAACTCAATTACTAAAACTATATTATCTGAACAGAAAGAGAAAAAAAACGTGAAAAGAATATTATCGTTTTGTGGAATTCCAGAATCAAATAATTTAGATGAACGTGAAAAAAAACAACGACGATAAAAAAAAAATTAACTAGATGTTTGAGAATATTGGTAAAGGCAATGTAAAACTTATTAAAATATTAAGAATAAAAAATAAAAAAGACTCAAAAACTCCTTCGCCCATTATTGTTGTACTTCCTGAAAACTGCGAACGCAATAAAGTTTTACTTGCCACAAGGGAATTACGCAAAACATAAAATATACAAATGTGTAAATTAATCCAATATGACACTCGTCGAAAAGCAAATCGATCCTAAAAAGAAAGAAGTAAAAAAAACAACCAAATACTCCTAAAAAATGAACCAAGCTCACCCTTTTGATAGTGCATTTGGTACAACGAAGTCATTAAACTCAATTTTAGTAAACAAAAAATATAAAAAAACTATAAAAAAATGCATTTATTTTTAAACCATTAAGAAAATTACTGAGATTTAACCCGTAAAAGCTATATACACACACATTGACTCCTTATTAAATAAACGCCATCAGCTCCAACAAATTGTTAACAATCTGAAAACCGAAATTATTTTTTTAACAAAAACTCTGTCTAAAAATAAAAAAATTGAAGTTTTGAAAAAAATTAAAATACACAGGCCCTGTGTATTATTACATATTTTCCTAATATTTATAAATATAAATGAATCTGTTCATTCTAATAGTTTAAAAAAGCTCTTTTTTTAAATCTAAAACTAACTTTTTATGTTTTTACAGAGGTTTGATTGTTCATGTGCCCAATTGCGCGAACAGGGGAAGCAAGCCCTAAGATTTTTTGTATTTTCTTAAAATTTATTAACGTAAATAAATACGTTCACTCCTTCAGTTTGATAAAGCTCATTTACGTTAACTGAAGTTAATTTTTACGTTTTAAACAATGCATTTAAATCTTTAAACCCAATTGCCCTAAAGGGACAAACGAGCACTGGGATCCTTACCTAGGGGCCCTTTACATGAGAATATTACTTTGTAGAATTTGTTGAATGCTTTGATTCTTTAGTAAAAAATGAAAACATTAAAGATAATTTAGCATAAGTACTTCAATGACACTTTTTCTCATGGATGGCATTTAAAAAATAAACTTAATATCAAAATTTGAGGCCGTAAACCCTCAAGCAAAACTTAATAAATTTTGACTCGTTTATGTTTGAATACAAAACATAACCTAAAATAACTTACGCTTTGAATACCTAAAATAACTTACGCTTTGAATACAAAACCTAAAATAAAAATTTTTTAGAATCAATATCTCCATTCTTTTCGAACGGCCTTATCTTCTTAAGAACCATTTTATGCGAAAACCAAGCAATTTAAAAAATGATATTCTTCCATCACGCTCAATTTTTTAACAGTAAAGCTAATAAGGTAGGAAAAAAGCCTTTAAATTTTTTTTTTTTAAATTTTTATAGTTCCTGAGTTATGGTTGGTCAAACATTTGAACCTTTAACTCTTGGAAATTCCTTAAGGTTGTTTTTCAAGCAAAACTTAAAGACAATGAGGTACCTGCATCCTAGTTTGCCTTTATATTAGAGAAGTATAGATCAAACTTTTCATATCTTGTTGCCAAAAGTATTTGTATTAAATTAAAGGTATTTGTTTTAATATGGAAACTTATTTTTTACTTTTTTTGTGTGCTTTTTCAAAGGATTAAAACAATACCATTTTATTCTCATACCTCAATAAGTAAACTTTCTCGTCATAGTTACAAATAAAATTCATAGGATTTACGTTGCTTCTTAAAGAAAGAGTAACATTTACATTTTTTAGATTACTTAATTTGGTAAGACAACAAAATTTTCATATCTTTTCATATAATTTGAATTTATAAAATGTAAATAAACGGCTGGACAAAAAAAAGACAAATTTAGTCTTACCACCAACCCCCTTAGATTAACACCAGTTGTTATAGCTATACCTTATTATTATTGTTATTATTATTGCTATTATTATTATTATTATTTTTTATTTTTTATTATTATTATGATTAAAAAGTGTTGGGATAGATTAGACTTTATTAACTTTAAATAAATCTGAACACTTTTGAAAATTTTAAATTTTTTACATGGCTTCCGTTTCAAAAAAAAAAAAAAAATGTCTGTTACGATTTTTTTTTTGTTAATGCATTAATTGCTTCAAATATTTTCTATTATTAGTGTAATTCTGTTATGCTATCACTATTATTGCTAATGTCCAAGTTGCTGATGAATGTGTTGTTTTTATTGTTGTTAGTGTTGATGCTTTTGACGTTAACTCTTTTAGCATTATATTTGCATAGGAGTTCTATTAGTTAACCTTTTATTGCTATCTCTATTTTTATTGATAACTCTATTTTAAAGTTTTTATGAATTTGTTGTTTTGCTGAATAGTTTAGTTTCAACATTTTTTTAAAATTTAGTTTCCCAGAACGGAATTAAAGTTACACAATGTGCAGCAAATTTGGAGAAGACACCACTGCAATGGAGGTTGTAGAAGGCATCAGCTTAAGAGGCTATGAAGTAATAGTGACCGGTAGAAATTCTGAAATTGGTGTTGAAACTCTTAGAGCTTTAGCTAAAGCTGGTGCCAGATGTGTTCTTTGTACAAGAGATTTGGAAAAAGGACATCACGTTGCTAAAGAATTAATTGCTTCTACGGGAAACGATCAGATCGACGTCGAGTTGGACTCTTTAAAAAGTGTAGATGACTTTGTGCAAAGATTTCTTGCAAAAAAAGAGACCGTTAAATATCTTGGTTAATAACGCTGGAGTTATGGCTTGTCCTAAATCTTTTACTAAAAATGGATTTGAAAAACAATTTGGTATTAATCATTTAAGACATTTTGCCTTGACTATTGGACTTTTACCCGCGTTGAAAGAGGGCGCAAAACAAATGAGTAACAAATCTAGAGTAATCAATGTCAGTTCAACAGCGCATGCGTTTTCAAACGTTGATTTTAATGACATCCATTTCACAAAAGGTAGAGAATACGAAAGATTTGTTTCGTATGGACAGTCAAAAACATGCAATTTTTTGTTTTCATTGGCTTTGACAAAACGGTTTTTCAACGATGGTATTGCATCGAATTCAGTTATGCCTGGAAATATCGTAACCAATTTAGGAAGACATCTAAATAAAGAGTTTTAGATAGAAAAAGGACTGATTGATGAAAATGGAAAATTTCTGAAGAAATTTAAGTTAGTTGAGGCGGGAGCCTCAACATCACTTTGGGCTGCAGTATCTCCAGAATTAGAAGGAAAATCTGGTCTGTATCTGGAGAATTGTTCCATTGGCAAAGAAGAATCAGACATTGAAAAGATACGGACTATAATCTTAGGTTATGCACCATTTATTATGGATGATGAAGCTGCTATGGAACATTTCCGAAAAGCTGCTAAGTAAAAGATCTCTCTAACTACATTTGCTTAGCTTCTTGACTTACAAGTCTATACATTTTATATATCTAAACTTGTAGGCTTAATTGAGAAAACTATTTTAAATATAACAAATAAAACATTTTTTTGGTTTAAATACTAAGTTTTTTGTTCGAAATTTTTTGTGAATTTTTATTAATTAGATTACTTTTATAATTTGAAATAAATGTCTATTACTTTTAAAATCTATTAAAAAAGTGATTTTAAACAATTTGTAATATATGGTCTGACTAAAGTCTAGACAATCCATCCAAGTAATAGTTGGGTTACAACATTACGGTTCTATAAGTAAATCAATAAACAAAAATTATAAAAAAAGCGCCTATAATGCCCACCAAATAAAACTAATCTGGTTTTTAGTTTATATTGTAGCAGTTTTATTTAAAAATTGTAAAACTAATTGTTAAGTATTACGATGCAATTTTCCGTATAGATATGAAATTTCTAGTAGGTTTAGATAGAGCAAGTTAAACGTTTTTTACTAAACCTAACATTCTCTTCAACTGTATTGAAATGTAACCTGCAATTAGGCATTTTATATTTATATTTTTGGGATTTTAAACTGTATTCTTCTAAGTCTCGCTCATTTATTGATTATAGTTCACAAAAAAAATTAACTTTAATATAATCTATACTTACATTTAATGTGGCTCTGGACACTAGAGACCATAAAAAAAAAAGTTATAAATTAAGCTGGAATCGTTTTGAGACTTTGGATCGATGGTATGTAAGCTCCAAACATTTTGCAATTGTGATGATAAAACTCCATTCCATAGGTTTGATGCCTTTTATTATTTTGTTATTTTATATGAAAAATTTTAAGTATAAAAATTTTATTTATTAGGTTTAATAGAACTAATGTTTTTTTTTAAAGTTTGTTTGTGATGATTAATGTGCCATCACATAAATGTAGCAAATAATTATGAAGCTATGGCAATAAACACAATGTTGACACAAAAATGCGAAAGTTCAAGTTAAATGGTTCATCTAAATCTGGTAAGTTTACACTTAATCAAATAATTCAATAATATTTCTGTTTTCCGTGTTTAAGTGAAGGAAAAGTTTTTTTCCTTTATTTTTACTATTATTAATGACTAGATTTACTGTGTTTTATAAAATAGTTTTTGTTAATAAAATTATTTAGGAAGATTAAGAGGCATTTTACCTTTTTTTTTAAAAATTTTTTAGTTTTTTTTGTTTATTAAAAATAACTTTTACAATAAAAGAATGAATAAAATACATACAACAGGAGTTACAAATTTTGTTGATTTTATAATAAGAATGCAGATACTTGCAGAAGATTACAAGATCTTGTCATCGAGATCTGGCTAAACAGATTTTAAATAAAAAAACGTTTAAGATACTTTAAATTGTAATTATACTGTGGCAACATTTTAAAGTTATCTATTTATAATAAAACGATAAATTGCGTATCATATAATTTATTAAGAACGTGCTGTAAATTAAATTAATTATCATGAAATTTCAAATCTCAAGATATTATTTTAAAGACAAATTTTTAATGGAGTTTTGGTCCATAATAATCCAAGTACCACATGTTTTAATAAATATATTTGTAACAATCCGGCATTTCGTTGTTATTGTAAATTTTCATTGTGATATTCATTACATTTTAGTTCACAAAGTTATAAAAAGGCCCTTAACTCAAGTCTATGTAATTATGGTTTGTTGTTAATGGATTGACCTTCTTCGTAAATAATAAAAATAATTACTATTGTAACATGCTAACCATGTTGTTTATAAATTGTAACCATTTTGAATATATATGTTGTTACTATATTGTATAAGTATATACGCAATAAATTATTAAGTTGTGCTTATGTTTGTTTTTATTTTATTAAAGTTAAAACGGATGAAAGCACTAAAGAAGGCAATAACGTTACAAATTGAAGCAGAAATTTATAAGTAGACGATTGGATATGATTCGTAGAAAAGCACCATTGTCAAATGGTTATGAATCAAATCTTTGTATTATCCCGAGCAGCCTGTATCGTTGGGCCAACGTTGTTTTGTGTTAGTTGGCGCAACTAAGTTGGATTTGCTGTTGGGCCAACGATGTTTTATGTAAGCTGGCGCAACTACGTTATATTTGCTGTTGGGCCATCGTTGTTCTGCGTTTGTTGGCGCAACTACATTAAATTTGCTGTCGGGCCAACGTTGTTTTGCGTTAATTGACACAACTACGTTATATTTGCTGTTGGACCAACGTTGTTTTGGGTTAGTTGGCATCATTTTGCATTATCCAGGAAAAATTTGTTCAGAGTATAAGTATATAAAATGGAGCGTACCTTTTATGCCATACTTGGTGCGCAAGGTAATGCTAATTATTATTATTATTATATATATATATATATATATATATATATATATATATATATATATATATATATATATATATATATATATAATAATTAGCATTAACAAGTTATGCTATTTATTATATATATATATATATATATATATATATATATATATATATATATATATATATATATATATATATATATATATATATATATATATCTGGGACTTCAAGGTAATAAGTACTCTTAAACTGACAAAATATATATTTTATATAACAAATATGTATATATATTTATATATATTATATATATATATAGATATATATACATATATAAATTTATATATATTATATATATATATATATAAATATATATATATATATATATATGTATATATATATATATATATATATATATATATATATATATATATATATATATATATATATATATATATATATATAGAAAGAAATACATAAAGAAATAATACATAAAGAAAGCCATAAAGAAATACACTTTTTATCTTCATATTGCAGCCAGTTAATAGGTTAAATATGTATATATATATATATATATATATATATATATATATATATATATATATATAATATATATATATATATATATATATATATATATATATATTATATATATATATATATATATATATATATATATATATATATTATATATATATATATATATATATATATATATATATATATATATATATATATATATATATATATATATATATATATATATATATATATATATATTATATATATATATATATATATTATATATATATATATATATATATATATATATATATATATATATATATATATATATATATATATATATATATATATATACATATTTAACCTATTAACTGGCTGCAATATGAAGATAAAAAGTGTATTTCTTTATGGCTGTTGTATACTTCTGACCTTAAAAGCAATAAAGCGGTAAAATCTGAACCTCCCAAATCTATTTGGAAACTATTTTTTGTTAGAGTGCTGCATTTTTACAGTAAGCTTTATTTACGTTTAATGGTTTTAAACTTAGCTTATTTGTTCAAAAAAAATTCAGTTTTAATTTTTATTATCTTAAAAGCACATGTGAAATTGCTAATTCCAAGTTGGATATTGCAGAGGACTGCTCAGAACTTCCAACAGAATCAGATATTGAAGCAAAAAAAAGGAAAGCAAAAAGGTTATTTTTTTTATTCTAACTTCAATTTATTTGATTATTTCAGTAAATTGTTAACATGATGTTTAAAATTATGCTATGTGTAACAATATTCTATGTTATGATGCTCATTTTATCTATTGGTAATATAAAATTTATCTATTGTTAATATAAAAGTTTATTTTATCAATAGATAAAATAAACACCAAAACATAATAACCCTATAACACAACAGTAGTCTCTGAAATAAAAAGAGTTAAAAACTAATTTAGGTCATTACCAGATTTATGGAATGAATTGTTTGATTCAAATTCCGATTATACAAAATCTAAAAATGGAAAGAAGTTTTCAGTATCAATTTCAACCTCAAACCTGGAGTTTCCTACTCCTCCTCAGTTGCAATCCGGTTAGATTTTTGCATTTTAATAAATATTTTACAGATCATTAATGATCCATCAACATTCTTAACATTAATGATTATAATTGTCCTTTAATGACATTTAAAAAAATAAAATATGTTTTTCTATTATACTATATTTTGTTTTGAAAAATATTTGATATTACAAATATGTTTATAATGCATTATTTGTACATTGAAATTTAAAATGGGCGTCTTCAAAATGCATCATCTACTGCTCTCTCGCGTCATTATTTTTAAACGGTTTATCTTTAAGTAAAAAAGGTTGATTAACACTTTTTTTTTTAACTTAAAAGTTTTACAATTTTTAAAGTTTAAATTATGGTTTGCAAACTGTCTGTTTGTATATGTGTGCTTGTAAAAATAAGCTTAAATATTTAAATAGACAATCAAACTACACTACCATCATCAATATCAACGCCAGTGCTTACTATAGCACTGCAAGTAGAGCAGTTATCACCTGATTTGGTCAATTGTCATGTTGGAGGTGTGTTTCATTTATTTATGCATTAGCAAATGATGAATTTGTTTGTTTGTTCATATGAACTTAATATATATATAGAAAATATTTTCTTACTATTATTACTATTATTTTTATTAAATTTTTATTATGCGTATTTAAAAAATATATATTTATTTTATTTTTCTTTGCATTTAGGAAATGATCATCGAAAACTGATATTATTAGAAGAGATTAAACAAAATAATCAAACTATAATTTTTCTTCTGCCTCAATTATCAGCACAACAGCAGCGTGGTAATATAGAAACAAGTTTTAATGAGTTTGGGCTTCCTGTTTCATCAATGGAACATTTACAAAAACTAGAAACAGATTGCCTTGACAATGACCTCCAAGAAAAGCTTGTAAGATATTTGTTATAATTGTTTAGTTCTCTTATTCAAGTTACATTAAATTTTTTACATAGTAAATAATATCTTTTGAAATTGTTTTTTTCCTTTTAGACCATTTTTAGTCCCTTTAGTTATTTAGGTTAGTGTGGCGCAGGTTTGGCATTAAAAAAATTGCTTAAA